GATAGATAGATAGATAGATAGATAGATAGATAGATAGATAGATAGATAGATAGATAGATAGATGAGAGATTTGGATGAGAGATGGTCAATTACATTAAATGTGTATTCACATAAAGTTGTGTGTGGAGAAAAAAGTACAATTTCAAAATTATTTCTTACAATTTCAATTATAATTAATCATAATTCAGTTTCTCTATAATATTGAACATACCTGTAATACAAAGAAAGCAAAAACATTTAAATAACCCAGAGCTTTACCATTTTTGATCCTTTCACGATTTCTTGAATGCTGAGGATTCAGACGTTCCCTCTGTGTGAGGGAAAAAAAGGTTGTTAAAAGTAAATGCATTTACCCTGCCCCCAATGTTTTCAGAGATTGGCAATCTTTGGAGTCAGATGCTTTGTGCTTCTAGAGCTAGATACCTTATTTTGTGAAATGTTACATCTATTATTATTATTAAACGTTTGCTAAGCTGAGATGCTTCTCTTAATACTATTGAGTAACAATGGCCCAATGGTTAGGATGCAGCATTGCAGGCTCACTGCAGAATTCGATTCTGGCTGGCTCAAGGTTGACTCAGCCATCCATCTTTCTGAGGTCAGTAAAGTGAGGATCCAGATTGTTGAGGGCAATAGGGCTGACTCTGTAAACCACTTAGAGAGGGTTATAAAGCACTGTGAAGTGGTATGTAAGTCTGCTATTGCTATTATATATTTGATTATTTACTTCATAATTATTGGGTAAAGTGGGATCCAGGGATTCTGGAATTTTTTTCAAACAGGACTCTATTTATTTGATTTCTATAGCTGTCCATCCCGGCAAAGAATTCTGCCTCTCTTACATGATGGAATGGAGTTCAAGCTATAGGGTCTACTTGTTTTATACAGGTATTGAACTTTGACTTTAAGGATCCAATTTCTAATGCTGATTTAGGAATTGGGTTGCAACCTTCTGCATATAACCAGAGTATGAAATCCCATATATTTATTGATTTATAGGAATTAGATGACTGCCTATATCGTAGAATGATTCTAGGTAGCTCACAATAATCCATAATACATAGTTAAAACAAGTGTATCCTTTCTCCAGGTGCCAGGCCACATATCCTGACAGCTCAACGCCCATCTAAGCCAGGGGTGGGATTCTACCAGTTTGCACCTATTCTCTAGAACCGGTTGTTAACATTCTAAGCAGTTCTGAGAACTGATTGTTAGAAGAAATTATTGCCCTAATCCTGGAAGGAAGGCAGGAAGGAAACATTCTGGTGTTGTTTACAGAAACTGCCTCTCCGTTAACCCTTATTACATTCTTGGCAGGACTAGACTTCCTGTCTCTGGAACTTCTCTGGGGTTTTTTCCCCCCTCCTTTGTTGGTACTTTGCTTGTGTGGAGTGACCATTCAAAGTTACAATGGCTGTTAGCCTTCAAGATTTTCTTCCTTTGCTTTGCATCTTTCAGCTGTCATAAGTAACGGGGGAGGAGGGGGGGACATGGTTATGGGAAGCAAACTGGAGGTGTTACAAAACAGAACTCTATAAGTTGTGGTGGGGATTCTTGCTTAGGCTTCTATCCTATGCTATGTGCAGCTGCAACTCTTTATCAAAATATGTCAAGGTCAATGGACAGAGGCTTCATCACCACCTGGAAATGCCTACATGATGCTATACACAACTTTTCATTGGATGAGCCAATTGAACTATTGGAGGTGGGAACCTTGCCATCACTTTGTATATGTGATTTACATGCTCATTTTCTCAGATTCAGAATTCTTTTGTTGCTACCACTTGACTTTCAGTATAAGATATCTTTTCTCTAATTAATGGAGTCTAAGTATTTCTTTCTTCGATTCTGAATGGAGCACCATCTGACATTGTCACTGAAAAAAGTGACTTATGACCATTTTTCACATTTACAACTGTTGCAGCATCCCCACAGTCATGAGAGGCCAGGTGAGGAGATGTGTGCCTCGATGTGAGTGATATTCAGTTGGCCACACCCAGCCAATAACATGACCACCAAGCCATGTCCACCCAGTCACATGACCACCAAGCCACGCCCACCACAGTACTGGTTGTTAAAAATTTTGAATCCCACCCCGATCTAAGCCCAATGCTTGGAGGAAGAGCCAGATCTTCACAGATCTCCAGAAGGGCATACATAACCTGTACCTCCATTTTTTTCTCTCTTCTACTAAGTGTGAATCTATGCAAAACACATGGCCCTCTTATAAGCTTTCAGGAAGTTTTGGATTCCAATTCCCATCAGTCTCAGCCAACAAAAATAATTGTCAGGAATGATGGGATTGAATTCAAACAAGAGGACCATTTCCTTACTAATGATTTATGCTGATTTCCAGCCCTGCTTTGCCAAAGTATATATCAGTAGTGAACATAGCCTTTATACCTAACCAATGGCTGAATGACATTACAAATCATTATAATGGAAATTATTAAGAAAGGGTAAATGATCTCTAGATGCCCTCAAGATACCTGGGATGTCTCACCATACTCAGTTAATATGACTAATGATAGTCACATTATGATTATTTATATCAAAACATTGTAGGGGTTAGGGTGGTCACAGGATCACATTTTGGGTACAATTCTATGGCTGTCTGTAGCATCCTGTGGTTATGTGACCATGATTTTTGTGCCCCACTCCCCACACACACATGCATGCACAGCAAGAGTTCTAAAGGTGTTTATTCAACATCCCCAAATAGGTCCTCAGAAAACGCCCACACTGCACAGGTTTGGAATCTGAGCTGAGCCTGACAAGAATCACTGGATAAACTTAGTCCAATGAGCATACACAAAGTCCAGGGAAGCAATCCATGAGTCAGATGGGTCAGAATACATGGCATAAACACACAAGACAAGGAATTGGGCAGGTTGCTCCAGCAACGCTCAAGTCCTCTGGACAGGATTAAGTAGGTGATGCTGGTACAGCCTTTCACAAGGGGTGTGATTGCCTCCTCGTGAGTAGTCTAGCCAAGTGGCATGGTGCCTGTCTCCTTTCTATCCTACCAGTCCTTGGATCAGGAGGAGGTGTGGATTCCACCTCCTCCTCATCACTAACTTTTGGTAGCTGTTCCTGGTCCTCACTTGGTGCCTTCTGGCCAACTCTCTGCAGCTGCAGCTCACCTTCCTTATTCAGCCTCAACTTTTTGATCATCCAATCAATCAGGTTGAGGCTGCTTTGTCAGCTAGCACTCTCCAAGCCCCAATTTGGACCATCGCGTGACTCCGTGCTTTCCCCTGCTGACTCACATTCATCCTCCTCCTCCGAACTCATGTCCAGAGAAGGTTCCAGGGGTGGATTCATGAGAGGTGCTTATGTTCTGTTTCTGGCAAAAACAACCATTAAAGAAAATGGGTTTGCTTAATGAGTGTTGTGTTCACTTACTGAAAACTGCAAAAGAAGTAACAAAACCGTGCAGGTTTACATAGTGACCTACTTAACAACTGCCACGATTTATATCTGTAAATTGAGCTCAGTAATGGCTGTAAATAGGAAACTACCTGTAACCTCCACTACTAAGCCCTTTCCAGCCTCCAACCTGTTCACTAGAGTTCAAATTATCTAACTCGTCACATACATCAAGAACCCATCTCCCAGCTTTGTTTTCCCCTCCCAAATAGGTTGGCTTATCTTTGCTACCATTTAGATTTGCCAACAAGGGTGATAAGACTTCAGGTGTTTTTGCTTTGCTTTTTCCATTCAGCTTGTTGAACTTGTTCTCTTACCTCTCTTGAAGGCTCTGCGATCAAGGGGCAACAGGTGAAGCAGCAGGAAAAGGCCATTTTTTAAAATCAAAATGAGTTGGAGTATATTCAGGCACCTGCTTGGACAGTCCCCTAAAATCTTCTCATACATCAGCTTTTCTAGTTCAAAGACTTTTAAACAACATCGCTCTGGTGCAATGCAAACCTAGAAAGTTATCCTTACATCTAGAGAAAAGATAGTGAAAAGCTGTCTTTTCCCTAGACTTGAAAGCTGTATTTCTGTTCATGGGCCCAATTATCTCAAACAAGTCTAACTGGTTTCTCAGCAATTACTCTCTGCGTAGTTAAAGAAGTCCTTTGTCCTGAAAAGTGACTTCCTCTAGAGTGGCATTTCTGGAGTGTACCATTATTCCAGGAAGGGGTGTGTGGGTATCTGTGTGTGAAAGGAAAAGGAGTGAAGCAGACAGTGCGTACCAATGTACTACAATAATAACTGAGTGAAATGTAGCCCCTTAAATCTTTGTCTGTAAAACTGGTCACAGGTCTGCTGAATCTCGTTCATTTTTTAAAACCTTTTTAATATATATTTCCATCATTTTAAATAGATGAGCTGTTAGTGTAAAATCATACTTGCTTTTCATCGACAGTTCTCTTTTTGTTCTCTCACAATCAAACAAGAGAAGTGTTTGTCTTTCATCATTGAAGGTACAAAAAAAAAGTCACTGGAGAAATAATATCTGAGAAAGTATTATTTAAAAATTCATGGTATTTACTTGGAAGAAAGATAACCTTGAATTTTAAAAAGCTAGAATAGATATAAGCAAAGTCCTGTACAATATTGACTCCTGGCCTATTCCATGTCACCAACACTAGTTGAAAAAAAGAAAGCATGTGATACATGGCTTATGGCAGAAAATCAGTCTGAACACATTTTAAGGACAAAAATTGCTTAGAATAGTTGCAATTGCATCTTGAGGAAAAAGAAACCAGTCACTGTTCCCTATAATAGTGAGTTTTTGTCAAAATGAGTTTTTGTCAAAATTTGTCAACATTTTTTGTAATAAAGTGAATGCACACCCTGCAAAAGTTGCTCTTCTCCACAAATGTGTAGAACATATATGCCATGCCTAAGCATACATGTGGCATAAATATATTTCAGAAGCTAACCGTATATTAGCTGAATTTATTAAACTTGTATGGTGCTTGACCCAATGACTCTGGACAATTAATTAAATCAATTCAGGCAGTTGATTTTGATTAAAAAATCACCAACTTTCATTTATATAAAATATTTTACAGTGTCCCAAGCTTGATAGAGGCAATGCTGTTCATGAAATTGCAGATTCCACGTTTCACATTGCATTACTGTCCTCAACTATTTTTTCCCCCAAAATGTATTGACATTTTAATGATGTATGTAGATAACATTAAATACACCAGTGGTGGGATACATTTTTTTTTACTACCGGTTCTGTGGGCGTGGCTTGGTAGGCATGGCAGAGGAAAGATACTATAAAATCTCCAGTCAGAGGTGGTATTTTCCAGTTCTCTGAACTATTCAAAATTTCCACTATCGGTTCTCTAGAACTGGTCAGAACCTGCTGAATACCACCTCTGAAACACACACACACACACACACACACACACACACACACACACTGCACTAATTGGGACAGCATATAATGTAAAATAAATAAGGGCCATTCTTTGCAGAGTTGGTCAGAACAGGAAAAATATAAAATATGAATATTAAAAGAAATATATACAAATGTATATTTTTCCTTGTAGACTTATTTTTATCATTTCAAATTCATGAGGAGTTTTTGGACTTTTGAAAGCTCTTGAAGTTCTTAACACTCTTTGTTGTAGTGCTATGTTTGTGTATTGGATATGCTTTATACCATGAGCTACTGAGTGTTAATTTTGATTCCAGTAGTATAGCAATCTGTTTAATAAATAAATATTGGGGCTTTTTCCTCTAATTGTCCATTGATTCAACAAAGAAGGTCAACCATATGAAAAACCGCAATGCAATAAAGATGGAGCTTTATTGCCTTCATCAGGGAGTGGTGAAGAGGTTTATTTATTTAGCAGATTTAGCACACATGCATCTCAAAAAATCACCAGCTCTGGGCAGAGTACAATAAAGCAGCCACTTAAAAACAAAACAAAACAAAAACATTTATATACAATTAACCCAAATTTATATAAAACACCAGGAAAATGCACCAACAGTCAACACACAGTGTAACTTTCTCAAGGGCTCCCCAGTTCCCTGGGAATTCCGAGCCTGTTAGAAGAATCATGTGAGGGCCAACCTCATCTCGGGGAGAATGATGTTACAAGGCAGGGTGCCATGGCAAAAAGGGTTTGCATACAGCCTACCAATGATATGTCACCCCATGGACATGTCCTGATCTCACTCAGCAGCTTCATGTAGATGCAAAAATGTAAAATATCTTTATTACAGTCTTTGACAAATCTTTACTATAGAAAAGATAAATAGTTTGATGCAACAATGATGGAAATTCTACCTAACTCATTTTTGAAATATCAGGCTGAAAAGGGGAAAGTCGTAGAATAGGAATTGAGTATAAGAAAAAGTAACCACAAACTGTGGTAACATGAGCATTATGTATGTATGTATGTTTTTATTAATTTATTTTGCCACCTATTCACCCATGGCGACTCAAGGCGGCTTACAAGGTATAAAACCACATTTAAAACAGTAAAACTAGGAAGAAGAATCAAATAATATAATAAAATCATCCCCCACCTCCCACCCCAGCGACAGCAGATCACACAAGCCATTTAATGGGCTCCATCCCGCTCTGGGTTCCACAGGCCTGCTGGCAGAACCAGATCTTCAGTGCCTTCTGGAAGAGTGTTAGACTGAGCGCCATGGTAATCTCTGCGGGAATGATGTTCCAGAGAGAGGGAGCCACAACGGAGAAGGCCCTTATTTGGTCCACGTGGAATATTCAGGCCCAATTAATGTGCAATTACAATTAAAAACGAGAATGAATGACTACTGATGGGATAGGAATTGTATTATAAAACAATTTTAAGCTTATTTACACTCAGACTCATGTCCAAGTCCATATAATTAATATTAAGTGCAATTGTCAAAAAAATAAAATAAAATAGTTAGACAATGCATGCTTTGAATTCATAAGTGTGTATTTTGGGTTGATTGTCTAGAGAATCAATCAGTTGTCAACTTGGTCTTCAGAATCCATTTTCATAATTTCATAACCTTCCTTTCCTTCATCCCTGTCAAATCATCTGGCAACTGTCAAGTCATTTCCACAATTGATTTGCACTGATCCCAAAGAGGTCTAAGAACTCAGCAGGTTTTTTACTGTGAGGCACATCTGACACAGCCAGACTTTGCACCAAAATAACAGGTTCTCCTGGGAGAACGGCAGCCACCAGTACTACCTTCTTTGTAATGATAAGTGCCCCAGTGGCTCTGGCACTGGAGATGATGGCATCAGCATCCAAAGTTTAATTATAAATAGATTGATTATAGATATGAATATGGATCGCAGGGAAGAAAGTTCCAAAGGCACAGTGAAGAAATTGCTAAACACAGTTCACAAGAGACAAGGCACAAGTCAAAGCTGGGGAGTGCAAGTCAGAACAATTGTTCCTGGCAAAGACTAATTCCCCAAGCTTCTCCTTAAGTTACATCCCTCCAGGTGTTCCTTGTGAGGAGGGTTGGGGTGATCTCTTTTCGAGTAGGACAACCCTTTCTAGGCTTGCCTACTCTCTACTCTCCTTGTCCTTGGATCAAGTGGAGTAGTTCCTCATCAGACTGCCTATCAGACTTGCCTATGTAGGCAAGCAGTTCTCCATCTGATCGACCATCTCCCCAATGCCTGAGAGGCCTGGGACAGCATTGCTCTCAGCCCCTGGCATGCCTTTCCTGTTGGACGGTCCCAAGGTACTCCTCCTCCTCCTCCTCCAAACTATGCTCTGAGAGGGTCATGACACACCTTCACTGGAATGGGATGATTGGAGACTGGACAAAAGCTGTCCAGTCTGCCTTGGTTAAACAATGATCCATTGAGGAAAGGGAACACCACTCTCTCTTTAAGAGTTGACATGGATGAATTAACTATTGCCCAGACCCATTAATGTATGTCCTGCAAGGCCTCAATCAGCATGAAGGGCACAGATCTAACATATAAGTGGCCAAACAAGTAGTTGAGAGAGCCCTCAGGTTTCACAGGCTCTAACTCTTTCCAGATCACCTTTTAAGATATAACCCCTACCACCTCCATTGACTGCTATAAGGCTGTGATCCAACATAGAGTCAATATGACCAATTTTGTCTGCCAGATATACAACATATTTTCATAGTAAGTGATGACCCGGAGTGTAATACAAACGTAACAAAATCCAAAACATAAATAAATGTCCTTTAATGCCTCCAACTTGGCCCTACTGTTCAATAATTCTCAGTTGGAGATAAAACCTACTCAAAAATAGTCTTCAAAAGAAAGCAATACAGTCCGAACTTAATGAGCAGATAGAGGTGAAATAAAAAACCAAACAAACTACAATGAAGGAAATTCCACAATGGACTAGGATAAATAATTACCAACTTCAAGGAGATAACAAGGCACAGTTTGTTGGAAGGATGCCAACCAAGATAACTTCAGCTCAAAATAAAACATGCTTTGTTTCTGGCAATGCTGTGTTTTAACCATCTCTCTTATATACTATTCTCCCCAGCTGCAACCAATGAGGGGGATCATGGTCACTTCCTCTGTCATAAAGCAAGTTGTTTCCTTCTCTGTTCCTCCCTGCATGTCCTAGGATGAAGAGGGAATGGACCCATTTCTTCCTCTGACTGCCAGCTGGCCTCTGCCCTTCCCCAGCCTCCTCCACAAACTCTGGAGCCAAACCTCCACTCCCTGTTGGCTGTTCCTCCACTCCCTCAGAGTCCGACTCTAACAAGGGCATGACAGTGAGCCTTTAGGTGAATTTCAGCACTGCTCCATCCAAGGAGGGATTGAGTCACTCAAAAGGGCCTCTGGGTGACTATCGGCAGGGGCAATAAGGTGGAAAAGTAATTACATTATCGCCATGAGGTAGGCCTTAATAGTGGATCCAGCTCATGTCTGGTCATCTTTGTTCCTTGTTTTTGCCAGTGACATTCTAGATGTCTCTTGGTTGTCAAGTTCCCTTAATTCCATGTATACCACAGGGAGCATCGGGAATTTTGAGCATGGAAAGTCTGCTCAGCTGTGATCTGATGTAAAACTGCTGCCATTTTGCTATTTCATGCAGCCACCAAGGCTTCAATCAATCCAAGTAT